AGCATGATAAATAAAAAACAAGATGAGCAAGATCAGTACAAATATATTACTGATCCCAGTAAATGTAAATAGAATGAGCTCTTCTCTGATTTCTGAGACTGGATTAAAAAGAACTCTGCCTCTGTGCTACAGGTAATACAGAATGACCCAGAATAGTCCAAAGCAAAGAGGTGGAAAAAGATATACAATACAACACAAATACCAACCAAAAGGAAAGTGATCTTGCGTTATGAACGTCAGATAAAATAGACTTTGAGAGAAAAAAACATTTTCAGAGATAAAGCAGGTCCTTAATGATAAAGGAATATCTGGTATTTTCTATTGGGTCAGACTTTTTGTAATGCTTTCACAACCCACTGACCTGAATTTACCATACACTAATGTGATGAACACACCGTTTAAAAAATGTTTCTCTAGAACACATTTTACTCCTCCCTGAAAGCCCCAAGCAACTCCTAAGAGACATGCTGTCATACTACAGTTGAATATCTGGGACACCTCCACAATACCAGGAAATATGTGATATCTACAGGTTTTTATAATTAGCTCCCCCAAACAATAAGGAACACTCATAACCACCCAAATGAGAAACTAACTTTTGTTTCATTTCGCCAAAGATCTGAAAAGAAATCACAAAGCTTACTTACAGAGAGAAAATTGAATTTATGAGACAGTTGGAAACTCTGAATATTCCATTAGGTATTTGAAAGAGAATTTGCAAACATCTCTTTCCTTCATTTTGAAATCCACTTTTCTCAAGTACAAAATCCTTTAATATAATCATTAGTGCATCAGGTCATGTCAGGGATGTGATAAGAACCTTCTGAGGTATCTCACACTGAGTTGGAGGTTCACTCTTGCCAGCATTACTGAAGGACTGTCCGTTGTGTTGTTTCTCCAGCATCTTTCCAGGAACTGTAATATATTGAAAGTTTCTTTCTCCAAAGCCATTAGAAAAACTCCAGGGAATCATCCAGAGAAAATAGTCATTGCTATGTTATTATCTGTTTTGCCAACAAGCAAGGAAACCAACTGAGCTAAGAGGGATTCAGAAGTATAGATCTATGAAGGGTGAGTTCCAAGTCCCAGCTAATAGCCCCTCTCTTCCTCCCTGCCTGCAGTCACCATCCTACAGCCCTGATACCTCTCTACTGGCTGAGCACTGCCTAAAGTTATATAATTATAAAATCATTTATGTATTCAATCTTTTGCAAACCCTTGGGAAGGAAGAGGCCTCACTTCCAGTTTTATGAATCACTGGCTCTTCAGCCAATTGGCTCCATGTCCTACCAGCAATTGTAGGATGCAGCCTCAGAGCTGAATTCTTATTCTTATTGCTTTTTAAAAAAATATTTATTTATTTATTTATTTATTTATTTATTTATTTTAGAGAGGGGAGGGGCAGAGTGAGACCATCTCAAGCAGACCCCACGCTGAGTGTAGCCTGACCTGGGGCCTAATCCCACAACCCTGAGATTATGACTTGAGCTGAAACCAAGAGTTGGGCACTCAACCAACTGAGCCACGTAGGTACCTCCTTATATTAGTTGATTTAAGAAATTGCTAACACAGTGAGGGCTTACAATGGACCAGACAATATCTCATCTTGTTTTCACACCAACCCAGTGAAGGAAATATCTGTACTATTCCCATTTTACAGATGAGGGAATCGAGGCTCAGAGAGTTTAAGTAACTTGCTCCAGGTTCCTCAGTTTGTCATTTGCAGAGCTGAGATTCAACTTCAGCCTTTCTGATCCAGAGTTGGCTCTCTTAACCAATATGGTACCCTGTTGGCTTTCATCAGAATAGTAGATAATTAGGAGAATTTGATTGGTTCACGGGCATTTTTTAAGAAATTCACATCCAAATAATGGAGTTTTCTTCCTGGGCTTACCCCAAAGTCAAGTACACAATAATGTGTATAATACTCAGTGTGCCTATCTTGGAAGAGCAGATGGACTCCATGTGGTAATTTAAAGAAGTAAAAGTAGGAAGCCACTTTTTTTTTTTTAAAGCAATGAAATTGTTTATGTGTTAAACATTACGCTGCACTCTACAGTATTTGCTGATTGGCACAACCACTGCCGTTTAAATTGATTCTGTAATCATGACTATAATGACAGGGATTAGCCCAGTTCAATGAGTGCATGCTTTCCCCAGGGCTCACAAAAGCCTTCTCTAGGGATCCAGGCTTTCCTGGTAATGAGAAGTTAACTAACAAGGCTGCCGTATTCCACTTTGGTAAATAGCAGTCTTCGGTTTGAAATGAAGGAAATCAAGAAAAAGATGAAGGGTCTCTGGCCACACAGAGGAAAATCACCCTGAATTGGTCAGTAGAACCCTGAGAACAACTGTAGGCTTCCGGAATGATGAAGGAAATGGGTGTTTCTGTTTGTTGAATATTTAGGTAATTGAGAGTTCAAAGGATTGTAGGAAAAATTCATCAGTTATTCTTAAGTTAAAGAACTCTTATTTGCCTCTCAGCAGCCTGTCACTTAAAATTGAAACCCTTGTACTCCTGAAACAATACATGCTCATTGTAAACACCCCAAACAATCCAAGTAGAAAAATACAGAGTAAAAAGTGAAAGCCCCTTTCCCCATTTTACTTCTTCCCTAAAGGAACCCACACTCTGTGTGTCCTTTCAAACTTTAAGAATACCTCAGTTATGCAGAAAGAATTTGACTATAAGAAAACCTAGTCGGGGCGCCTGGGTGGCTCAGTTGGTTAAGTGACTGCCTTCAGGTCAGATCATGATCCTGGAGTCCCAGGATCGAGTTCCGCATCAGGCTCAGCGGGGAGTGTGCTTCTCCCACTGACCCTTCCCCCTCTCATCTGCTCTTTCTCTCTCTCTCTCAAATAAAGAAATAAAATCGAAAAAAAAAAAAGAGAGAAAAAGAAAACCTAGTCAACTTGCTGATTCTAATTAGTGTTAACCTTTCTTTAGTGATTCAGAAGATGCTTCACATTTATTATCATTAAGGGTGTCAGTTGTCATGGTGCAGAAATGTGGGGATTTCTGTGTGCTTGGATCCAAATAAACAGAAGCTGGTGGGAAAGATGTGGGTAATCCCTTTTTCAGCTGCCCAGGCGGGTTTGGGCTTGCTCAACCCACAGAACAGAGATATTGAAGGTGTCTAATCTTTTGAACATAAGACTTTAGGAAACACTATAAAAACATTGGTTTGTAATTTAAAAGATTTGGGGGATTACCTTATGTTCTATGACATTAATATAGGGTCATTTTACTCTCTGAAATTTGCATAACATTATACTGGTATATGTGTATACTTTATATACAAAGTACTTGATATGTATATACACACACAATATACATATAAAATATATATGTATATGGTCCTTTGTATGTGTAATTTTAAAAATACATATTTATAGATAAATTGTATACTTTCTTTTTCTTTAAGCAAGCGTAGCTGTCATTTATAAGTTCAGCAGGAAACTGTCTTTTTTATTTTGGAAAAAAAAAATCACTTGAGTAGTTTTCTTAAGACAACCAAGGCACCCCATGCCCTAGGAGAGGAAGTAATAGGAAGGACTTTATTTTTCTTGAGTTTGATAAGGCCGTCTCTCCAAATGCCTCTTAGTGAGTAGAGCTTTGGTGCATGGTATCAATTTGCATAAACAACCCAGGAACTTTCTAGAAGGGAAAGGGATTGCGATCACCCCAAACCCAACATTGCCCCCTGCAAGTTTCCTAGTTATAAAAAGCCATGGGAGGACCCTTCTAGAGGACAACAGGACTTTTCGAAAACTAATCCAGGAAGCTTGGATCCCAATGATCAGAGCAGGAAGTCTCAAGATCCAGTGCTGGTCTAAAACAGCAGGAGGTTGGGCCCTGGCTTTGTGACATGATCACAATAAGCAGAACTGGACCACTATTACACTCTACCCACCTTCCCTCCATGGCTAACTCTAGTTTATGCTTCAAAACTCAGCCCAGGGGTGATTTCCTCCGTGAAGTGTTTCCTGACCGCTCCAGGCTGAGTTTAGTTCCTCCTCCGTATTCCCTTGTACTCACCGATATCCTTATTCTTACCACACCTTGTTGATCTTATTCCTGTATACTCTGTTCCCCTACTAGATTCTCAGCCCCTCAAGGGCAGCTGGAACAGTCTGCCTATGTTTGAATCTCAATAAAATTTCCTAGCTCTGCAACTCAGCAAGCTGCCTAAACCGAGTTTCTTCAGCGGTAAAATGGGCATAATCATTCTTGTCTTATTGGGTGTTTTGATGGTTAAATTTGTAAAATACTTAATGCCTGGAACATAAGTGCACAATAAATATGAGCTATGGAATAAGAAAATAAAACTTAAATAATTCAAATTATCATCAATAATCTCTTTATTGCCAATGTCTAGCACAAAGCCCCGTATGCAGTAGGCGCTCAATTGGTATTAAATGGAACTGTGATTAATACATTGACTGTGATTCTTCTAGAACCAATATAGTAGCCACCAGTTATATGCGATCATTGAACACTTGAAATGTGTCTAGCCCAAACAGAGACGTGCTGTACCTGTAAAATACACTAGATGTTGAAGATTTAGTATGGAAAACAGAGAGTAAAATATCCCATAAATAATTTTTGTATTGATTACATGTTGAAATAATATTTTGAATCTTTGAGGTTAAATAAAATATATTCTTAAAAATAATCTCACCAGCTCATTTTTCCTTTTTAAAATGAAACTGCAAGGAAATTTAAAATTTCACATGTGGCCACATCATATTTCTATTGGACAGCACAGATCTAGAATGTTCTCAACCTACCATTATTATAGCAAATCCTCACACAACCTCATTTACACTCAAATATTACATAAGCTGTAGGAGTTTAGATAAATCATTTAGAACACTGATTCACTTAAAATCCAAAGCATATCCAATTAGTTTGTAAATGATTCTCCATGCAAAGTTAACAAGCTAATGCATAGACGTATTTTTTGAAAGGGAACTAAAGCTTTGTGGGCGTTTTCCAGGTTCGGTGTGATCCTGAGATTCAAGAGTTGCGTCAGTGGCAGAAGAAACTGCGTGAAGACAAGCACATTCGCGAGCGAGTCAAGATTTTTTGGGCCAAACAAGAACAGAAAGGTCAGTCGTTTGATTCACAGCCCTTAGTTTATTTAGGAAAAGCCTGCATCTTAGCCCAGGCTCAAGAAGGAAGCCCTCTGTGTTCTTATTGGGTCCTTGCGTCTGCAGGGAACTCAGTTTGTGTGTGGGGGGGAAGTGGCTGCATATTAAGATTCTGCTCTGGAATGACAGAGGTGATGTGACATGATTTACCGGCCATTCGCCTCACTCAGGGACAAACTCAGTGTCATCCTGTGTCTGCAGGTCTTTTTGTTTAAGCTATAAGACATAAAGGATAACCCCTCCTCTTGGAAGCACGGTGTCCATCAGTGTGATGGGTGGTTATCTTTTTTAAGTTGTTGATTGTGTGTCTGAACTGAAATGACGCATTATGCTTGTCCTGTCCCCTTTTGTGAGAAATTAAACATGTGCACACACACACACTGATGTACAAAGAATAACAAGCACCCGTCACCTGTCATATGCAGGTGTCACCATTTTGTCCTATTTGCTCTCCACATATTTTATTATAAAACTTTTAAGTTACTACATATTTACAATAGGAATATTAGAAAAACAACAGCCGAAAAAAGGGGAAAAAACAGAAATCCCACCACTGTTGGGGCGCCTGGGTGGCTCAGTC